CAGCGAGACTCCCGATCTCCCGGCCGCACCTTCCCGTGTGTCAGGGGGTGGTTCCCGGGTTTCAGCACCACTTGTTACCTCTCGTGAGGCAAGGCGACCCAGCTCGAGAAGGACACGACGGCTCAATTACAGGTCGTTCGGGCCAATCACTCACAAACACCAATATGGTAGATGGTGAAATGGCGTTTATTTCCTCTTCGCGTGCTCTTATATAACTACGGTCTGCTGACATCATCACTAATCTCTTATTGGTTAACCCAACTGGAGGGGCGGGGCCCTATCTTCCCGTACATCGCGATGATCTTCCTACTGAAGCTTTCTGTCTAACCACACTGGGGCATCTCCCAATGGGATGATGTAATCTTATCAGTCACACAATAGGACTTAATGGCCCATTAACGGAATATATCTTCTGGAGGAAGGATGGGTTGTGAAAAGATAAAGATGATCATCCCCTGATCTTATCAGATGGCACATCAGCAGAGGATATCTCCCACAGAGATAAGGATCACCACCCCTCCCACATTTTAACAGATGGTGATAGAATACACATTTTTGCATTGTACCCCAGGACAACTTCCTTGCTGTCCTGGACTCTGTATGAAGGTAAAAAAATTACCCCTTTTCTTTGGGAGTGGAAGATGCTGCCTAGGACAGGCTCCCCCATTCAAATTGTCTGTAAATTCCTGAGGTCATCACTTCAGTGGAATTGCTAGTAAAAATTTTAGTGATTGGAGGAATAACCAGATCTAACTGGATATACATGTGCCTACATGAGAAATAAGCAAGTGTAGGATGGGATAAGTACTGAACTGGTTGGCAGAGTTACCTCTAAAATGATTCCATTTTCAGTGTCTGTGTGCAAGTGTTAACTAACGTGTCTCATGCCCAGTCCACATTTTTACTTGCAGAATTTGTGCTTTTTGCAGCTTACACACCTTTATTTGAGAAAGCATATTGGGAAATGGCTCTGTCATAATTTTTGTATTTAACACAGAATATTGTCTCACTTTGTACAGTTACAGAGAAAATACAGAGTATTAGTGAACTGCAGGAGAGAAACACTGTTGTCATTGTATTACCAAGGAAACTAGATGACATCTGCCTGCAGGTAGATAGGCATCAGATCTGAGGGCAGTATTTGGAAGCCTTTTAAGAGTATTCTTTCAACTAAGAGGATTTTTTAAGGGAGATAAAATAGTAGTGATATAGTGGGAAGTATTCTCATATGTTTTCATTAGCATTCAACAGAAATAAATGTGTAAATTCATCCTCAGCTTTCCTAAAACAGGTGTTGACCATAATGCATGGATAAAACAGACACAAAAATCTCATTGTAGTTCTTCTATAATAGAAGAACCATTCTACTTTTATTTTAATGGAAATTCTGTTACTTCTGCTTTTAGAGGTCATTGTGTGAATGTTTGATAGCATAAGTACATAGAGAAGATTACTCTTTAAGCCTGGAAATAAATGCCCTGGAAAAGGCTATTAACGCTTGTAAAATACATAAAAAGGATAATCTTGAGGTGAGATGCTTTACTATTGCTTGGAAATTCAAGCTTCTGATTATTTTATTTCTTTCCTGTCATTTGCTTCTTGCTACTCACCAAGAACTCTTCAAGCCAATCTAGCTTGATAAATGATCATTTTTTACTTGCTGCATAATATCGGTGTCTTGACAGTTGTCATTGACATGCACCTATTCTGAAGAGTAGAATGTGGACAATAATCACATAGAAAGTTTATAATGACAGATCAGTTTAGTTTCCATTATTTCTGAGATACTAATGTAGATACTTCTTTACTGTGGATAGAAGCATCATCTCTAGGTAAGTTATGTTGCCCATTTTCTGTGATAAACATCAAATACCATGAGTTGCTGAAAAGTAAGGCTGATCTCAAGTAGTTCTTGAAGACCAGGATAGTAATGTTGAAAGCCTTAGAAGAAGTCTGACATTTTACCTTGAATTTGAGCATGTGCCATGTCTATTTTTTTTGGCATTGTAAAGCTGTTTAAAAACATCAAGAAAGGATGTACTGGACAAGTCCCATGGATTTGTTGCTTTTCTGGGTTAGAAATAGCTGAAGTGGGTTCTTAATTTCATGTAGGTTGTCTCTGAAAATACTTTCTATATCGCAATTTTCATGGCCTGTCATTGCAATAGGTTAGAAATTGGGCTGCTCTTGTTACTCATCTTAAGTGTTGTCAGTCTTCTGTAATATCTAAAATTAAATTTCTGTGTGGCAGCCGTACTGCTGAAGAATGTGCTCTTCCCAGAATTTGATAAGTGAAAAATGTATTCATCTTACTAGGCTGTTAAGTAGGAAACTTCCACAGAAATGAAGCCATACAGTTGAGTTGATCTAGTGTAAGACAAGCTACAGCTACTGGTTTAATCTTTCACGGTTTCTGTTACTCGTCTTCAATTAGTATTGTTTATTACTCTATGGAATATTTATATCAGTTATATTTTGAGAATTTGCCCTGTAGTTACAATAAAAACATAAAAACTTTGTGTATGTTGAAGACAGGGAGGAGGCCAGTAGATCTTCACTTTGAATTTAATCTTTTAATAAACAGTTAAATTAACTCAAGACTCTTTCCTTGCCACTGGGATTAATTAATGAAAATTGGATCTTTGAACCTAAACATTCAAAACTGAAACACAGTTAAAAAATTCAAAGCAACTTCTGGTCCTTCCAGGATGGGTGTATGCTTTATTTTTGGTTGTGGTTTTTCATACTTGGGTCTGTTGTGCAAAATGTATTCAGGAGAGAGTGCTTGATAAGCATAAAATATGCACATTCCTTTGTAGCATGCAGTTTCTCTAATGCTTGCAATACTGCTGCAATAAGTCTTGTTTTTAATGAGTTTTCACTTACCTGTCTTGGTATACATATCCTTGTACAAGATAATTCTATGATTGTAGATACAGGGGCATGTATCATATATGTATTCCATTAGAATATATTCTGCCCAAGCTCATCTGTACTGCTTGACATATCTTGGTGTCTCTTTTGAAAAATAACACTGATAATGCAGACTACTTTTCTCTTAGGGTACTAAACAGTTCCCTTCAAGAATTTTAGAGTATCTTGAATTTGTTCTAAAGACCCAAAGCCACTAGTTGTGTTCATCTGACGAAATCTCTATGGAAGGAGAAAGAAGGCAAAAGTGATGGATGAGAAGAGTCAGAATGTAACGGTGCTGCAAGCCTAGTTTGCCTCAATTACTCTACATGATCCAGAAAGATACAGTTTGTACAGAAAGATAATATTTTTATTAGACTGTGATGAACTTTTGTATTGCTTATTTTAGCAAAGGGCATTCCTTTTCCATGCAAACCCTGCCTTGCTTTTAATCAGCCTTACTAGTAATGGCATGAAATTATGTTTAGCCAGACCAGATGTTCCTAACTGAATTGAATCTTCAGATTTATGTTGACAAAGAGCTGAAGGGCACAGATTAAAATCATAATGATAGGGTTGATATTTCAGTGTGTTGCTTTACTTTTTAAATTTTTTGGACACATTAGTAGTTTGACTGCTACGTATGTGTAAAACAGGAGAAAGCTTCACTCAGTCTCCCTTTTTTGCAGTAATGCTTCCACACTCATTTTCTACTCTTCCCTCAGCCAGTTACCTATTTCCCTGCTCACATATGAGTAACAGGCAAACAGTGCCAGCATCTTGGGAATTTGTGGATAGATATATGGTGTCCTTCTGAGGACTAGGATCATGGGTTACATGAGAGTACCGTCTGTCTTACAGCTGTCCTCAAGGAGCAGTACTTTCACTGCAGCACAGTTCATGCATGTGAAAATATGAAACTTCTTTGGGTGCTCCAAAATACTGGCTGATGGGCTGCAAACTATAAAAGAACAAAGGTTGGATGTGGCACAGCTGATGATGTTTTTAAGTGGGCATATCCACATTGCATCTTTACTACTATATGTTTGCCAGTTGTTGATCTTAGGAATGAATGTACTGTTCGTGTGTGAGAATGCCAGCTGCTTAAGGACCTCTTACCCACCCGTCACAGAGGGCACTGTAAATTGTGCTCTGGTCTATATGGTCAACCTTGGTTCCACCAAGAGAAAAACTGCTTTTAAATCAGTAAGAAATATGCACCTGTATGCACCACAAACCTGCAAGGAAAACTTGCACCCATAGAGGGTTCACCAATGTGCTAAACTGCTAATGTAGATACACCTTTAGATGCTGGTCCTCTTGGGGGTGAAAAGGCAGTCATCTTTGCAAAGAAGAATGTTTTATGTGGAATAGAACTGATTAGAAATGCAAAAATAATTATAAATAATTGCAACTTAATTTCTGAATGACAGGTCTCTTGAAAACTCATTAGTTAATGAGACACAAAAAGTGTTGCAAGTATTATGCTTATCCCTCATCATCCTAATTGTCCCATTGCTGTTTGAAACAATGGGAAATAGAATTAGAACCTTATGTGCTTGTAAGTTAGATAGAACTTTGTTTAAAATGAAATTGTTTAGTTACCAGTTTGTTCTAGTACATGGAAAATGTGATTTAATAAGTACAGAAAGTTATAATGATGCATTAATGCTCTCATTATATGAGAACAACATATTTTGCATTATGATTTAGGTATCCTCTTAAAGAAGTAATTAGTATGAGACTAATTACATACAAGACCAATACAGTTCATAATCCAGTAGGCCTTCTGTTGGGTTTTTTGTTTAGACAGTGGACAAACCCAGCCCATCCTTGAGACAGTCACTGTAATTGCAAATGGCACCCAATGTGCAGCCTCTTGTGTTGCATTTTGCAGTGTCTGGGACTGAATCTCTAAAAGGGATGTGCCGAGCTCCAAAAGGCAAATTTCCATTGCATGTTTACTTCTCATTTGACACAAGAAAGGCGTAACAATAATTGTAACTTTTCTGTTAGTAGAATTGTGGTTGGGGGGCAGGGGGGTGGTTTTGGTTTGTGCTTTTTTTCACACATATTTTTATTCTCAGGAAAACAAAATTAGGAGAAAACAGCTTGAGAAGAAACAAAAGAAGTTGCAAGCTGTCCATGGGAATGAAATGAGCCCTCCCTGGAGGCCACCTGGCAAAGTCACATATTCTAATAGTTACTGAGTAGTTAATTGCCTTCCAGAAGAACAGATAGTCTAAAAAGTTCTGTCAATAGCCAGTAACTCATATTATCAACTGATTTTCACTGAAGCCATTTTATGTGTTACATTCTTTATAGTTTATTTGATCTCTGCAGTTTTAATAAACTTGTTACTCATTTGCTTTGCTTTAGAAAATGTAATAATTATTCAAATTCCATATTTAAATTAATTTTGCTAATTTTCACGTTATGTCCTGCCTTTCTGGCGAAAATTTATATCCATGATACATAAAGATGGACTCTGGGGTTTTTTTTTCACCCAGTAATTAGCAGAATTGTTATTTTTAAGTTATTAGACCACACTCCTGAGGAGTTAATTCTTGAAGAAATGATATGAGGAGGCTGTAGGGTAAGGATAATGGGCAAGGACATGTTGGCTGTCTTGTGGTGGTAGATGTCAAAACGTAAAGGAGCATGGAAGCAGAATGTCATGTTCATTCATTAATATACAAGATACAGAGAAAATATATATATTGCAGATAGGTGAATACAGGGCTTTCATAAGCCCCGGGTCTGGCTCTGGCTGTTCCTCATGGCAGGCCAGGCATTTTTTCCAGCAGTAGTGGAGAAAAGAGAAAGAATCTACTGCCAGCAGAAACTTTCAAGAAGCTGAAAAGATGCCCAGCCGGAGCAGCTTCAGTGGCCCACCTAAGAGGTAGAGTAAAATTACAGACAGCAGCAGGAGAGATGAGGGACTGCAGTCGTGGTAGAATGCAACAGAATTGCCAATTCAAAAGTGGCCCATCCGGATTTTATGAGAAAATACTAAATTACTTCAGGCCTTCAGATTGGGGTGGTGGTGTGCATCATTGGTGCTCTGGGCTTTTAGCATTTGGAGCCTTAAATTTGGTTTTAGTCTGTTAAGAAACTCCAACTATAGTATCACAGGAGGATGAAATTCGTAGCTGGCACCAGAGTTTATTGTACAACAGACCTGGAGAGTCTGAGACAAGGCAGCCTGTGAGAAAGGTATTGTCTGGATCTTTATTTTAGCGGTGTCCAGCTAGAGGAAGCAAGGAAGGTCCCCATGCTGAGAAGTTGTACTTGAGGGATGGAAATGAAAAGTGTAGTGGAATTAGTGGCAGAAATCCAAAAGAGTTTGTCAGGTGTTTTCCTGAACTGAATGCTGCATCCTTACTGACTAAGCCTTTCTATAGCTGGGTAGAAGGTTTTGACAGAAGACAGGAGAAGATGTTGGTGATATCTTTCAGAGGAATGTGGAGTAGCTCACAAATTCACAACTTCTCAATTAGGAAAAGATGCTGAAGTCTGTAAACAAGGGAAAACAGCTGATATATTTAACTTTTATAATAAAATCTGGGGAGCTTTATTTAATGTTATATTGTAAAAATTAGGACATGTTACAGCATAACACAAATGTCATAGAAGAATTAGAACAATATAAACATATGTACATTAATGTATAAGAATATACATATATCTCTGTAGATCCTATCTATATGTTTATTGATGACAGAGGGAAAATATTTCGTATTTAATAAAGTATATTTTAGTACAATAGCCTCAATGTTTTCATTGGATTTTGGGATACAAATCTTTATTTAAAACTTTAATACATGGAAATTAACATACTGTAATACATTGAGCACCCATTCCCATACGCTGATTTCTAACCAAACAATGAAGGAAAAACAACAGGAAAAAAATATAGAGAAAGGGAAAATATTTTAGCTGTCCTCTATGTCACTTTCTTGGAGAAGCAGCTGGAGAATCATTGCAAATAAATGATACTTCGGGAAAAAACTTTCTTAGCTACTCTGAATTCCTCTGTGCTTCTTAGCACTTGTAATACTGAAGTATAATGAGATATGCAGAGGTGATTTAGCACTGAGCCTAACTGCTGGACTATATTCTTGGTTGAAATGGGAGCTGGAAAGATTTATATTGCAAAAGATCAGCAAGCAAAACGAATAGCAGTTAGAAAATAAAAGCAAATGGTACTGTCATTATTGTTGAAACATTAGTGGTTATGAATGTGATGCTGGATGCTGCACAAGCAAATTGTAAAGATGACTTGCCACAGAAGGCTCCCCATCCCAGAAAACATGCAAAGAAATTTAGTCAAAAGCACAAGGAGAATGAGGAAGGCAGCATCACTTGCTAAACAGCAGCTATGGTACAAGTGTATCAACAGCTCCTGGCAGTTTGGTTTCACAGTTCACCAGCTACCATCCTTGCTTGGTCTCTTGCCTTCAGCAGGAAAGCCAATGTGCTAATTTTCCCCTTGACTCTTCTGCTGACTATGTGGTTAAGCCTCCTCTCTCTGGCTTTCTTTCTTCTCATGTACCAAATTTTTTGTCTTTCCTGCTTAAGAGACCAAATAATCTGTCCATTCTTGCTGTCATACAGCACCTCCAAAAGAGATCAGTCTGCTCAAAGGATGAATCTGCTGTCCATATTGCTGTACAATTTAAAGAATTATTATGGCATTAAACCCTAACATCAGCTTGATTCTTATTTTCCCTTAAACAGATGGTAGCGCATTGAGCTGTTAAATTTCACTGCAACAAAATTGACATTCTGTTTAAAGTTTCTATTCCTCATGTGAATCAATAAAATACAGAAATGCTGTGCTGGAGGATTATTCTTTGCAAATGGCTATGCATTTGTAACCTATCCAAAGCAAGGGCTCTTGATAATGACCCCTAATTTTCAAGGGTTTGGATCATGAACTATCACTAGACAGAGAGGTTATGTGCAAATAAATCAGGACAATTACAGGAGGAAACAAACAGGATTAATGGCTGAAGACTCAGCATAGTAAGTGCACATTAAGTGTTTCACAAAGACTTTCTACTGATTTGCAACTCAAATATCCTTTACATTCTTCTCTTTGTGATTGACTTTCACAGTTTCTTGTACAGATATTTTTTAAAATAATCCTGTGCACCAGTTAGAGCACTCATAAGAGAAAGAGTGGAGAGAGTTTTTTATCTATATAAAATTCTTGCTCCCAGTCAGAGATAGATGTAGAAGTACAATTAAGAAATAGGAATGGATGCAAAACATAAGTTGCTTATGCAATAAAATTGAACTAGCAAGACTGTAGCACTCAAAAGTACTGCCACGAGGGAAGGAAGTGAAATCCTGCAGTCCAGTCTCAGAGCCTCTGCACTGGATGCCACCAGACTTTGTTCCCAGCTGCCATTTTAGGCACATCTTTGCCATCAGATTTGTGCCAAAAATCCATCAGGTTTGTGGGGCCATGCCTTAGGGCTGCATGACATCCCAAGTTCTTGCACTGTCTTACCACTGATGGGTAAAACAGAGCAAGGACAAGACCGGCCAGTGAGGTTTTGTACAGATTTCAGTCTTTCACAGAGGCTGAATGTCCCTGCTCTGACCTGACAATGTTTGGGAAAATGTCCTGACCAACCTTCTGCCCACACATGCCAGAGCAGGATTTACTATAAGCAGGATGTATTATAGTCATGGCTGGAAATGCTCTGTTTTCATCAGTTTAAATATATAATTCCTTTTAAAAATGAATTAACTGTTGCCACAATAAAATACTCAATGGCCAATAAGTGAATCTTACTCATCTTTAGCAAAATTGGCAGCTAAGAATAAGCACACACATATTTGTGGCTTTTGTATGAGGCTTAGATTGCACTGGAAAACAAAGGATATTCAGGGCTGCTGTTTTGGCCTCACTTAAAATCTTAGTAGCTGAAGGACAGATCTATTTTGCCACATAAATCCTGAACTCTACCTCTTTAAAACAAATTAGATTTTCAGGTGCTAAGCATCTGAACTTCCCAGAGATTTCACTTATGTTCGGGTCCAGCCATACCTGGAATAAATTAGAGCACACAGCTAGTGTGGCAGAGTAATCATTAAAGAGATGCTCCCAGTGTCTCGTGGGAAAAGGTATTACTTGATACTCCGTGTTAGACAAATGTGGCTTCTCAACCCCTACTCGCGACCAAATCAGGGGCCAGAAAACACACATTCTTAACTCCCGGATCTGTATTGTCTCCTGCAGATGTTGCTGCTTTTCTTATGAAGTTTTAGCTGTGCAAAGATCCTCATAAAGGCTTCAGCTTCTGCTGCATTAGACTGTGTCACTCCCCCACTCCATCCATCACACATACTCCTTGGTTGTTGAGGATAATGGGAACTTTTATATTAGATAATTATTGTGCAATACATTGAAGAGCTACATATAGGCATTAAACAAAGCTCAGCAACCATCCCAGTGTGCCTTGAAAGATGCTCTAAGCCCCAAATTCCAGTAGTGTTGCCAGTAGCCTCTATCACCCAGGTTTAGGAGAAAATTCAGTGCCTGAACATTAGCACTTACTGTGTTGCAGAATCACCAGGGTAGATGAAGGTGACATAGTGTCATTCTCTACTGTGGTTCACAACACCAGCTCATAGGAGTTTTCATGGAAAAGAAGTTAGAGACAAACTTCAAACAGAGCAAGTACAACAACCCCAAAATTGTTCATTCCAATGGACTGTTGCCAATGTGACTGGCTAGACAGACACACACTGAGACTTGAGGGAAAAGTTGAGAAATAGAAAGTACCTGGACATGAGTAGAGGAGACTGTTGACCCATCTGACTCTGTGTTTGAGTAAAGTATGTATTAAAGTGTTTTAGGGGAAAAGGCAACAAGCTATAGCCATGAAGTCGTAGCCTGAAGTTCCTCCACCTAATCACATGAGAACACATCACCTTTTACAGACAGTGATTCAGCCAACAAGCACAATCCCTTACCACAATTGTAGGATTGACATCAAGGTGCCTCCTGTGATCAGCACATGACCTGTCCCCAGTGCTGCACATGAGAAAAAGCTTTAGCAGAAAATATTACCTTTTCACCTTTTCTATAGCCTTTAAGTTCCAGGTAGAGTAGGAACTTTCATCTGCCTGCTTTTGGAATTCAAGCTGTTGGATGCCCTGCCACAGCTGTGTTCCAGCTGTGGTCCTGCCTGGC